GTGTTGGAATTATATGGAATGACTCTATTGTAAACTATGTTAAAGTAGGTATTTACAATGATAAATCTGATCTCTTGACTGATAATAATGCAGAGATTCTTCCAATTGAAATTGTTCTACCAAACACAAAAGCTCTGTTCTTTTCTACTGCATATAGGGTTCCTGATGTCAGTGTTGATTACCTAAACAATATTGATGATATATTTTCAGAGCTGGTCTACTAAATATTATAATGAAATAATAATTATTAGTGATTTTAATCCTGGCATCTGAAAAGCTAATAATTATAAGAAGATTAATGATTTTTATCTTTATCAGGCGTTATTGCCTGATGAAGACGTGGGTCACGTCGAAACATGTCGTTTAAAAATTTCATTTATTTTATTAGATGCTTTACTACATTGGTATTAATAATGATTTTGCTAAACATTGCAATTTTAACCAACTAATTAATGATTATACTAGGACTTCTAATAAAACAAAAACTATTATTGATCTTGCATTTGTTTCACAGCCTGAAACCATTATTCATTCTGGTGTCCATAGCCTTGCATTGAGTGATCATTTACTTATTTATTTTGATCGGAAATGTAAGCAGTTTAAACTCCCTCATACAGTTATCAGATTTTGCTCTTTTAAGCACTTTAATAATGCTGAATTCTTAAAAACTATTAACGAAAAACGCTGGAATGAAAGCACCAAATTTACAGATGTCAAAACGGCCCTGATTTGGAAAAAGGCCTTTTCCCGGATTATTTGTGCTTATAGATAGGAATTAATAATTTAACACTTGGACATTATCTGCAATAATGTTTAAATATATCAACGGAGTTTTAAATTAGTGCATGAATATTGCAAATGTATGTCACTATAATTTTGAAATAAAAAAAAAATCATAAATATATATTCTTAATTTATGGAAAAATAAAATTAATATTATAAAATTGTACATGCGTTGAAATCTTAATTTTAATATTTAACAAGTGTTTTGTAAGTAAGGTATAAAAAAGTAAACCAATCAAGAACAAACTAGAAGGAATAGGTTTCATTCATAGTGTGTCGGTGGTGCCTGGGTGGGTCAGCTTGCTGTTTGGGGGGTGGGGGTGAGTGCGGGCTTTCTTTGCGTTTTATATGTTAGGTTTGGAGGTAAATTGAAAAGTTATCCATATTTTAGGACATGTTCAATCGCTATGTTTCTAATCAGATGCCACACCAACCTATTTCAGTTATCTTTGTAATCACATAATATTATTATCCTTATTTATCGTCTTTATGGCCATAGGATAACAATCCTACTGAAATGTTATTCCTAAATTTTCATGAACTTTGCAGGCACTAAAAACATATATAAAACACCACTTTTATATTATAAAACAATTCAAAATAATTATTGTTCATATGTATACGTGAAAACCAAGAATACATCATAATGTACGGTATCAAATTATTATTTATATTGCTCAAGAATTGTTAATAAATTAAGTGTTTAATAACTTAGCTAAAAAATAAAGTAGTAATGCACATTAAATAAAGCAATTAGGAATATTTACATCAAATTCAAAATGCATGGAATTTTGCAATAAATATTTACATAGTTTATTATTATCATTCGTACAGGTTATCAGAAAAACAATGTAGATAATGCTTTTTCTCGAGTTAATCCTCAGACTAAGGCGAGAACAAACTGGGCATTATCTTAATGTAATTTAATTAATATTTATCACACTGGCACCTGATTGGATAACTGGTTCCTGCCAGTGTGTAAAGTCAACCGTTTAATGTTGTACTGAGTGGTGTTTAGTAGAGTAGTAGTCCATAAAAATCAGATTTTGTGGCAGATGTCAAAAATTGGAATTCTCTCAAATTTTTACCATGAATATATACTTTGGTAAAAAACATATCTATGACATTTGTTTAATTTTTTAGACTTTGTTGTCATGGCAACGACCCATTTTCAAAGTTTTTGTCAATTTTGGACATTTTCAGTAAGTGAAAAAACACTGACGTTCAGACCTTATTTTAAAAAAAAACATGCACTATATATATTTTGGCAAAGATCCATGTAAATAACCATGTATTAACTTCCATTTATCGCAAAAAAAAATTGTGTAAAAAAATATGTTTGGAAGATACCATTATTTACAAAAGGGGGGTTTTCTCAAAATATATTTTTTTAAAGTACTGTATGCCTCAGAAACCTATCTGTAACTTTCAAAGTGGTGCATACATATCCACATAATAATCCAAATACATATCCAAATAATAATCAAGAAAAAAAGTTGTGGGTAATTTACACACGTGGTTGCGGTATTGCCAGAAAAAATGCCATTTTTTGAATAAAAATATATAATTTTTTACTGAATGGATAACACTATAAATCAACGTAAATTTACTTCAAAATAATATTACTATAGTTACATAAATAGTCTAAAAACATGTTAAGAATTGTGTTGCCAGGTTCATTTCAAGTAGTTTAAAACTTAATTTTGTACTGTATTGCCAGAAAACAGCATTGTTTTTATTGAAAGTTAACCTAATTTTACATCTTTTTACTGAATAGTTAGCGCTATAAAATATAATCTAATTCATTAACCATAACAAATATAGTTACCTGACTAGTTAAACAACATGCTAAGGAATGTGTTGTAAGATTTATTAATATGCTTTACTGTATTGCCAGAAAAAACAGCATTTTTTCATACTGTAAATATACATTTTTTACTGTACGGAAAATGCTGTAATATAAAATATAGGCCCTAATTCATGTAACAATAATTACTATATACATGACTATTATAACAACATGTGTAGCCAGGTGTATTTCAAGTATGTTAGACTAACTGCATTGCATGTAAAGCAAACAACTTAATTTAACTTTCTGAAAAAAAAAAAACAAATTCAAACACCACTCTGACAAAGGCAATCCATGATAAATTCGCTTTCAACGACGAATTATGATTTTCAACTTAGGAAGACTCAATTTAATTGTTGAATTTACCATGAAAAGTTAATTTTGCCATATACAATTGGATGTTAAAGATCAACTGTTTCGTGGACAAGCATTTGGAGGTTGTCTATTGCGATTCCTCTTCGTCAACTTACAGAATATCTTCATTTGACTCGTCAACAGTTTTGTAGCCTTCAGTGTACTACTGTGTCTTGACACTTCTATAATAGCTTTATATCTTTTGCTTAGGTATTCTGATGGTTTAGATAACTCACTGTCGTTCCTAGCTATTCTCATGTTTTTCTCAACCTCTGACACTGACTATTTGGAATTTCTTTTGAATATAATATATTAATTAAGAAAAGAATATTATTCTTTTTATTGTTTCTGAAAATCTTGTGTCTTTTCTTGTTTTCTTTGGATGTGAAGGTGCGTATTTATTAAGTTTTGGATATCTTTTCAGTAAACTTATATCAGATTACTCTTCATATTCTTCATATCCACACCTATTTGCTCAATATTGTAATACATGGTACAACACAAGATTACCACACTTTTAGATGTTCAAGATTTTAAATAGTATGGATGAAGGATATGTCTCTGCTGCCTTGATCCTTGATCTTAAGAAAGTTTTTGATACCGTTGATAATAATCAACTTCTTATTAAACTAGAGGAGCAAGGCATCAGTAACAATGAACTGTCTTGGTTTACTTCCTACTTAAGAGATAGAAAACAAGCAGTTAAGATAAGAAGTAGACTTTCTCGTTTTAAGTCAATTGATATAGATGTACCACAGGGCTCATTTTTGGCTCTTTGTTATTAATTATTTATGTAAATAGCCTTCCTCAATGTGTAACCTGTAAAACTGTTTTGTATGCAGATGATACTACTTTGCTTTTTTGTTCACTTGATCTTGTTTCTCTCCAAAAAGATTTAGACACTAACTTAAATATTAAAAATGGTTTTATAACAATATGTTAAACATTAAATATTAAGTTTATGCTTTTCGGAATACATATAAAAGCTTGATAGATTTAGCAATGTCACATTAATGTATGATAACCATGTTAGTGAAAACGTTGATCAATTTAAATATCTTGGTATTGTTTTTGACAGTCGTTAGAATTTGAATCGTCATATTGAGTATCTGTCTTCAAAAATTGCAAAACGTTGTGTTATTACTCGCCGTGTTAAAGTTTATTTACCAAATTCTGCTCTCAAAATGCATAATTTCGATTATTGTAGTCAAATTTAGACAAACTGTAATAACACTCTTAAGTCAAAGATTCCAAAGCAGCAAAATCGATTTGCAAGAATTTTATTATCAGCCGATATTAGAACTCCAGTGGATGATATGATGATTACTCTTCATTGGCTTATTAAAATCTGGTTTGTCCATCGATCATTTAGTTTAATAATGTAAATGATCGATGGACAAACCACATTTTACTTACAGTGTTTAATTGTAAATATAGTAATTCCCCTGAATATCTGTCTTCAAAATTCAACTTCACCCCTTCTGTCAATTACTACCATACTAGGAATCAAATGTCAAATACTCTAGTTGTTTTACATGCAAATTCAAACTGTGATGAGCGTAAATTTCATAACGGAGCAGCTCACATTTAGAACAGTCTTTCCACAACATTTGTAACAATTTTGATTTTCTTTCTATTAATATTGTTAAAAGAGGCTTTTATCTGTATTTATAAGACTGCACCTTTTTTATTTTGGTTAGGTAGTTTTCATTTGTCTGCTGTCTTTAAATTGTAGGCTATCTTGTTGTTTTTTTTATTTATTTTTAGTTACATTTGAATTTCATGATTGTAAACATTTTCTTTTTCTTGAATATATTTACTTTATGTACCAGGGCTTCCTTGAAAAGCAGTGGTAGACACTGAATGGATACCACTAGTTAAAGAAAGCTTAAATAAATAAATGTTTTACGGTATGAAAATATTTGTTGTCATTAATTATTTAGTTGTCAAACAATTTTTACATTTTTTTTAAAGGTTGATGTACTTTTATACTATGTATATTATTTTGTTTCAGGTGTATAATGTGAAAGACTATGTTAACGAGGCAGACTTGCAGTTTCTTGAATTATTTATTAGATATGGACTTGCGATTAAAGGAGATGAAAAGAAGCCCTTCGAGGTTAGCAAAAATAAAAATCAAATAATTGTTCGTTGTACAGTTATAGTGGATGCCAAATCACTTATTGTTATGTTGAAAGATCTACGTAGGACTATAGAAGTTTGAGTTTGATGTTTTTACCAGTCCTACCAATGTTTAATAATAATAATAATAATAATAATAATAATAATAATAGTGTAGTTTTATATAACGCACATATCCATCTAATGTAAGATGCTCAGGGCGCTTGAAATGTGGACGAGGAACTCGACCAATGACTTTCTTCGCCCCTAAGGGTCCCTTCGTGTCTGTGTTACCCGGTAACCCGGTACCAGTAACTCTCGTCGTCCACCACAGGGGCTGTCTGTTCCAGTAAACTGGGGTAACCCCTACTCATCTCGAAGGATGTACTGCGTTCTTTATAGTGCACACGAGCCGTTGTATACACTGGGCCTACGGTTTATAGTCCTTATCCGAGAAGACTTGTTCTACCACCAGAACCATAGGCGAGCGTGCCTACAAGACATAATTTTAATCATGGAAGTTTGTTTATTCTAACCCAGAAGCAATCAAACTGCTAGCTGTTCTAATCGGCTCTAAATTATACATTCCAATTCCTTTTAAATTTCGTTTCGTTTAGCATAGTTTCTTTTATTCACACCAAGATTAAGGCTAATATACATGATATTAAAAAAAATAATATAAAAATATTGAAATATCAATCAAGCACAATTAGACATTAAAAATTGTGAATCAAACTAACATTAAATTATTTAAGCTCAGTGCCCACCAAAGAAGACTTTCAGTATATTTAAGAGATAGTTTAGGTTTCATTTTGTTTCCTTAATTTCTGTTTGTGTTGTTTAAGGCTCTGAACCCTATTCTGAGACTCAGGGCCCACTGAAAACATTCAAAACTTGAAAGCTGGTGGGTTGGGGCTTTCCTCGTGCACATGGCGTCCATTTTCGGGAATGTAGTGATAACCCCGAGAGGTCACATGGCTATGACTCTGTATTCCCTGTATACGCACATGTACTACCTATTGTATTTAGTCAATACGCTAGAAACAACTGTCACAGTAAGTACCAACTTTGGCTATTTCTATATTGCACCACTAGTCTTATGGGGGCGCCACTGAACTCTCAAAGAGCTTGTACGAACGTGGTGTCCAATACTATTTAAAGTTAAAGTTCAATAAAATATGTTTAAAATTAAAAAGCATTCAATAAAATAATTAAAATATTTCACATTAGGATAAAATACGAAGATGTAAACAAAATAAAAAATTAAAAAGAAGAGATGTATGTTATTGCGAAATATAAAAACATAGAAAACGAAAATCTGGAGTGTGTTTTATATAATTAATCACTGAGTGAATTTATTTTATACAATAATTTGTTTAAAAAGGCGAATTGAACACGCATATTTTAAATCATTATTAATGTTGTTCCAAATACGAGGCCTTGAAACAGCAACACCGTGACTCGTGCATGCAAGTCTACGAAATGCTTCTAGTATTGTACATTACCATCATAGAAGTTTCTAAGATTTAATAGACGTAAGTCAGGATTGTTCATCATTCGGTACATGAAAACACCGTTTTGAATATCTTTGATTCTAAGAAGATTATGTCTGTGAAGAAGAGAAAGCCGGTTGGTGCACGATATTCACACCACGTAATGACACGTATTGCTTTTTTCTGAAGTTTGATTAATCTATCGATATAATCAGGAAAAGTATTAAACCAAATAGTATTACAGTAGCTAACGAGAGGTTCAACAAGCGATCTATAAATGGAGAGAAGTGACTAGAGAGGAAGATAGTGGCGAAGTTTATAAAATAGACTAACACATTTAGATAATTTGGTAGCTGTTATGCGATTTAAATGAAATAAATTCATCAGTATAAACCCCTAAAACCTTCGAAACACTTGTTCGGATTATGGGTTTATTAGCAATTTTAATAGAAATATTATCAACCTTGAGAGGGCTTCTTTTTTTTTTTTAGTTCTAAAAACTATAAAGTTAGTAGTTTCAACATTTAAAAAAACGATTTTGTGTCATCCGCGAATAAAATCATGCTTAAAATTCTAGAAGAATTAAAATTATCATTAATATACAGAATAAGAAGAAGTGGTCCGAGTATTGAACCTTGAAGTACACCATACTCGATTAGATTAAGTTCAGACGATGTGTCATTAATAGCAGTATATTGCCTTCTTCTACAGACATAATTTTTTATAATTCAGGCAAGTGCTGTACCCCTGATACCATAGTGTTCAAGTTTAGACAACAGAATAGAATGATCGACTGTATTGAAAGTCGTTCTTAGGTCAATAAATATTGCAATAGCAGTGTCCCCGCCGTCAATTAAATTTAGACCCGCCATAAATTTGGAGATTTGTTTGAAATCCATATTGTTCCTTATGAATAATTTCATTTTTTCAAGAGAAAAAGACGATCATAGACGATACGTTTTAGAATGTTTAATATGGCTGGTAGAATGGATATAGGACGATATAATTATTTCAATCACTCTTATCGCCAGTTTTAAATAGAGGAAATAACCTGGCTATTTTAGTGAATTGTGGAACAACACCACTTTGGAGAGATAGGTTAAAAATATGACAAAGTGGAGGCCAAAATTAGAATAATATTTTAAAGTATTTTACTACCTATTTTATCAATGCCTTCGGAATTTGATAATTTCATTTTGTTAGCAATACCGATAATTTCATTTTCATCGGTATGAGTAAAATATAAGGAATTGGGATAATTTCTATTAAAATATTGCTTAAAATTTTTATCAGATGATGTATGTTTTTATTAAAGGAATTTTTGTTTTTCTATCTTTAACTCTGTGTATTTTGTAAGAATACATGAGTTGATTAAAGTCATAGTTATTTTACAAGGAATTGAACCCAATTAAGGCCTGCTGGAAATGTGACCAACTGAAGACCTGTTGGTACTGGGACCAAATGAAGACAATTTCGAACTGGGACCGATTGAAGACCAGTTGGAACTGTGACCGATTAAAAACTAGTTGTTGCCAGTTTGATTGTCCAAAAATACCTGGGAACAGCACAATATTACATGTTCTAGCTGTGTAATTTTCAGTATTGATTAATTTTCGAAAATGTAGATTTGATATTAAATGTGATCCTTTTCACAATCTACATTTGCAATATCTTAATAATGAATTCAAAATTATTTAGAATAATAAGCACTATGTATAGGCTATTTTATAACACTAAATAACATTTACTTCCAGACGCTGTTGTTTCTTATTCGGGATTGGCGTGGTCACAGAGAGTACCCCTTTGGTGAAGATGGAGGAAAGAAATACCTATCAGAGAAGTGCATGGTTTGTCTCACTTTATATTTGTTTACACCCGTGTCTGTATTAAAAGCTTCAAGTATACACTCAGAATGATACGATTAAAGATTAAGTATGGTTTGCTATCTAAATGTAACATATAACAATAATAATAATAATAACCAGTACTATGTTAGGTAAAAAAAAACCAGTTATTTTTTATTATTTTTTAAAACTTAACGTAAAAACCTGTAGTCTTAAATGGTTATTACTTTGTTCAGGAATGTGTCGTCGGATTCCCATTTCCAGTAGTAGCAAATAGAGAAACAATAACCACCCCTATAATGTTTAACTTCTTTTAATCTCTTAAAATTTGCTTTGGTATTTTAACAGTTAAGTAGTAAAAGTGAAGGCAAGAGAACAACCTATAACTTTACAAAATGAAATACTGTGGCCCCTTTTGTAATTTTTTATTTGTAACTTTTTAAATATTTTATATTTTTACAGGTAAATATTCTAATATGTTAACATTGTCTTACCTCTATGCTGTTTCTAATATATTTGATGTATCTTTATTCAGTGGGTGTATTTGGCTCTCAGCCCAGAGTGTATTCTCGGCACCACTCTGGCAATTTTGATTTTGTGTCGAATGGAATGAATGAATGAATGAATTAATTTAATCAATAAATACATCAATAAGTACATACAGTAAAATTTTTTAATTTGATGTATTATATGTTAACACTTTACTTGACATAAATTAGGAATAAGAATATTGTAATGCACACTGTAATGTACTGCAATTTTGAAGTATAGCTAATTATAGTTATAAAGGTTTTTTAAATGGGTAACATGTACCTCATGTAACATTTACATTGTTTTCTGCACTCGACAGGCAATCGACGTCGGTAGCCAAAGTGAAGAAAATATTGAAGTAAGGAAAAACATCGGTGAAGTGTTTACTAGCCTAAAATGTTACCTGATGCCAGCCCCAGGAGAGAAAGTCATTGAGGGAGACCCCGAATTGAAAGGTGTCCTTGAAGGTTTGTAATTATGTATAAATTATTCACAAATTTATCAAGAATGTGTGGTGTATTCCTTGCAGTTAAACCAAACATTATTAATACAAACAATGAAAATTACAAAACAAACCTCAAATCAAAGACATAAAAAATACTTCGCACCAACATTACTCGTTTATTTTATTTTGCTTTAGTGAGGTTATGCAAAATACCCAGTATAAGCCTTATGTACGATATTATGCAATTGTCATATTAACACCCCAATAAGTTCACTTGGTCACTAGAGTAGCAGCGTCACTTACCCCTAACAGACCAATGCAGATTTGTTTGCAGGGTAGTAAGAGTTCCCGCAATGTATATCTCTTATGATTTATATCACAAAATGGGTACTATTGGTTTAGTTAGTCGCGGGGGTAAAGCGAAGGTGTCTTTCCACACCTCGCTCACATCCCCACACTCCCTGCAAACTCGATATGCCACTATATCCCTTATCTATCTAACAAAGATCGTAAAACACTACAAATCTGTGTTTTAAAATAGTCCAAATGCACCACATCTCCTCAACTAAGCCTAGTATGCGTCTAGTCTAGCCTATGTCTATTTTTTTCTAAGTCTATACTTCTAAGCCTACATTGTCGAAATGACAATACACGACTGGATTAAATAATAATAATATGTCTAAGACTATATCGTCATTGCTATAAAACACCGGTGGCGCCAGCGGCGGGGGGAGGGGGGAATGCACAATTCGTCGGGTTAAAAGAAAAGGTTATATGTATTTTCTACAAATTAGTAGACTCTAAAATCGATTAAATAAGCCTTTCATGGACTTCGCTCTCAGGACCACTTCGAAGTCTTTTAATCGAAGCTCGACCATGCCCACTTTACTTTTACTTTAAACAAGAATGTCTATTATATGCAACATCTCACTATTAAGACGAGTTTATTACTTGTTAGATGATGTTTTCGTATTAAAGAAATCAATTGCTAAGGAGAAGCTGGCTTTCCATGTTGACACACTTAACTTTTTAATTATTTGTCATAATATTTAGTCTGTGCCCATCTTTGTAGCAGCTAATTGATGCCACTATGATCATTCGAGAGTTACAACAGCTGAAAACTGAACCAATTATGATGAAAGTTGTTGACATGATTACGGCAGCCAATCAACCTAGTGATATTGCAGATCAAATCAGCAACAACAATGTAAGGGAGTCACATACAACGTTACCGGTTTCCTCGCAAAAAGTGCGGTAGGGATTGTCTCTCAGTGTACTGCCCAATCACCACCAGAAGGGCCCCACTGGAACTAGTCTTCTTCCAGACTTTCGTGAGCTATCCTTGGAGTTAACACCGAATAAATCCAATCCGAGCCAATCCAAAATTCTACTGTAAATTTCCAGGGCTTTTGTTTAGCCGCATTTTAAAAAACGCTTTTTTACATTCTTCGTTAGTAAGCCCTCGTATTTATTATTATTTTCACCTGAAAGTTGGTAACAGTGAAGTTTTGGAAGTATTTTTTAATAGGCCTAGATGACTTACCTTTCACATGATCCACTTATATCTGAATAAGTATCATGTCACTTATTATTATTACCCAGTCAGCAGCATGCTGACTGGGTTCTGTTTTCTAGCAGTTTCTTTCTTTCTTTCTTTACCCAGTCAGCAGCATGCTGACTGGGTTCTGTTTCCTAGCTCTTTCTTTCTTTCTTTACCCAGTCAGTGTCAGCAGCAGCTGACTAGGTTATGTTTCTTAGCAGTTTCTACTTTACCCAGTCAGCAGCAGCTGATTGGGTTCTGTTTCTTAGCAGTTTCTTCTTTCCTTCCTTCCTTCCTTTCTTAGTTTCTTTCTTTCTTTCTTTCTTTCTTTCTTTCCCAGGTAACAAGCCCATAAGGGACCCATATGGTGCCCATATGCAGATCTATATGGGTACCATATGTGCAATCCTTGAGGAAACCTCCGGATTCTGCACCCAAGTTCCATGTGGGACCCATATGA